GAGAGAGAGAGAGAGAGAGAGAGAGAGAGAGAGAGAGAGAGAGAGAGAATAAATAGAGTTGTCTTTTGAGAAAGTTTGAGCCAGGCTCTCAGGAGGAAAAGAAGCTTCAGTTACTTGTAGCTGCTGCATGAAGGTGAAAGAACAAATATTTGGTTAGCCTGGCTGAGTGAGCACACTGGGCTCAAGGTTCTGTGCCTTTAAGGTGACCAGAGCCCAAAGGCCCTCCTTAAGGGCTGCTCGGCAACACCCTTGATTCTTCTCAGAATCCCCTGCAGGGTCTAGCCTTTGACTTTGTTCCAATGCTGTGGTCAGCTCAGTCTATCAAGCTCCACGCTGAGCTCTTTGTATGATCGGCAACACTCTCTCTGTGTGCCTGCCTATGTACTCAGTAGAAATGAGCTCTCGTGGGCAGAGTGGGATCCTGATGGGAGACTGTTGGGAGCCACAGGAAGGTAGGAAAATGATCATATGTGTGTAGGTGGGACTGGGCCTCAATGCCTAAAGCAAACAAGCTACCTCAGTCCTGAGAAAAACATCCTGTCTGGTTAGGGTCAGCTATTAGTTGCTAGACAACCTTGTGTCATGTGTTACTAACTTTGCAAAAGTATAAATAAAGGATTTTGTTGTAGTGCATCAGGCAGACTAGCGACCACCTAGCACAGCTGTTGTCTAATTGTCTATCTTTCTCATGCCTGCTGCCATGTCTCCCAAAGTAGAACCAATTGCAGTGAGACCAACGGACCTCTACAGGAGACTGTGTGTCAGGGAATACAGGCAGCGAGTGTATGACCTAATTCTACAGACCCCAGAAGAGTAGAAAGGGCAGCAGAGCTGGAGCCAGGGAGGGATGAAGGGCCCCCAGCAAGGACCCCTAGGGGGAAGAAGCCCAGAACAGCTTGGGGCCAGTGTCTTCAGCTGCATCAGCATTGGCAGGGTCTCTTGGGATTTCTTTTCACTTGCCCAAGCTTCACTTTCTGGCTGTGTTCTTCCCACCACGGCCTTGTGCCACAGGACAGTGCTTCATGGCTGAGCCACCCTGCAAGGGTGAGGAGTTTACCAATCACCCTTAGACTAGGGAGCAAGGGACACGAGTCCTTTCTGCCCTCCAAGTTTTGTCCCACTCTGACCAACACCAGGGCCCTGCCCTGTGGTATACCTTTGCTCCAGAGTATATGTAGACTGGGTTGAACACGTGTGTGGGGAGCAGCCTTACTGTAGCCTGGGGTGGAGTGGCTGGACCCCTGGACTTGCAAGGGTCTAGCTGGTAAAGGCTCTTGGTAGATCCGAAGGGGCAGTCTGCAATACATGGGTCTCCGACTTATAGAACATCCCTCTTCTTCTCCACAGACAAACTCAAGAGAGTGGCATCAAGGAGTCTGTGTCCTGGGGCACACAGAGGACCCAGGATGTACTCTATGAGGCCAGGGCACCCCTGGAGCGTGGCCATTCAGCAGAGATCCCTGTGGGGCATCGGGGAACACTGGTGAGCCCTCCCTGGAGGGGGATTATGAGACAGAACCCAGTGGCCTGTGGGCAAGGATGGGGGTCTGTGGAACCAGAAGTGAGCATAAGGACCGGGATGGGAGAGCTGTGGACTAGGTTGGGGCGCACTGTGGGACCTGGATGGTGGTGCATAAGATGGTTCCCTGTGAGTATGACCTGGAGGCTGTTGTCCCCAGGCTGTGGATGTCCAGATGCAGAGCGTGTCACTGAGGGGCCCGGATGGAGAACCCCAGCCTGGGCTGGAGACCCAGGGCCGAGCTGCCTCCATGCCCCGCCTAGCAGCAGAAACACAGGTGGGTGGTTATGGAGGAGTCTGGGCTGGGGGGGTGGGTGTGCATCCCAAGGGTATGGGGGCCTGGGAGAGGAATAACAGCACCCATTCTTGGAGCTCACTCCAGTGAGCCTGCCCAGAACCCACATGTGATTAGCATTCTGGGAGCATACGGGCCCTGACCTTTAGATGTGGTAATGCCCAGGAAGTAATCCCCCAGCTCTGTCCCACTCAGCATTGTCCCTTAGCCCTGGTCCCTTAGCTCTGCTGTCTCCCCTCCAACTCTGTCCCCCTCCAGGTATGGTATCCCCCTTCCAGTCTGTGTTCCCCCAACTGTGCATCTGTACTTCTTCTCTTTCTGAGACTCTTTATCCTGTCTAGAAGATGATGCCACTTGCCTCTGTCTGTCCTTCTGTTTGAGTGTCTAGAACAACCTTCACTGTTCTATCCCTCTTCTTTGCCCCCTGCAAGTCAGACTTTTTATGGGACTTTGTTGCCTAAGGAGGAGGAGCTGGCCCATAAAGTTGAGGTTCTGTGTACATCCTGGGACAAGCTCCTGTCCAAAGATCCTGAGAAGTGTCCATTCTGCATTTGCATTCTGAGTCAGAGCAGGGCCTGCAGTGTCTTGGCCTCAGCCCTGAGTGTGCACGGCCTGCTGGCCCCAGGTTTTTCCTCTTCATCGCATTCTTTGTTCCTGTGCCTCTTAGGTTTGTACATGTGCTGTGAACTTTGCTCTCATTTTTGACTCCCATTTCACTGCCTTTTGCAGCGTGCCTGTCTTCTCTTCACGGTCCATGTGTTTTGATGTTTATGCCTGTGTCGTACTCTCTTTGGTTTCCTGCAAGGTGTCACAGGCTGATCTGGCTGTGACTGACTCCCACAGGGAGGGCCCCTTCCCTAGGCTCTGGCAGTAGTAGCTTTAGGGCCTCTGGTTGCGAGGCCAAGGAAGAGCTACCCCTGCAGTCAGTGAGGCAGCCATGACTACACTCAGATTGTTCAACCCCACTAGCAGCTTCTTGGCTTGGAGGACCCGTAGCCCCTTCCTTGCATAGTAGGGGCTCCATCCTAGGCCTGGTTCCTCCTGACGGGACCTGGCCAACCTCCTTGCCCCCCCCCACCTCAGGGCCTTCTTCATCCTTCCATCTATGTTCCCCCTTTTCCCTCACCACAGCCTGCTCCGGATACCAGTCCCATGAAGCGCTCCATTTCCACGCTGGCCCAGCGCCCTCGTGGGGCCCACCTCTGCAATGCTTCCCTGGACCGCCCGCCCCCCAGTCAGGCACCACATCACCATCACCACCGCTGCCATCGCCGCAGGGACAAGAAGCAGAAGTCCCTGGAAAAGGGACCCAGCCTGTCTACTGACGCAGATGGTGGTGCGTGCCAAAGGGTCTGGGGAACCTCTTGAAGGACTGTGGCCTGCATTAGGGTCTGCGTACAGATGTGGATGGCCTCTTCCTTGGTGTCCCTTATGGCCCCATATCTGGCAGTAGTAAGCAGGGAACCGAGGCCCAGGCCTGAGCATCAGGCAAGAACACATGCAGCCCCCTGCCCTTCCCAACCCTGCTGCCCCTGGGTATGGGGTCTGGGACCGAGGTCTCCCTGGTGCTGAGCTTGGCTGAGCTGGTCTCTCTTCTTCCTGGGCCAGTACCAAACAACACCCCAGGACCAGGCGTGCCCCCAGGCGAGGGGCCAGCAGGCTGCCGGCGTGAGCGCAAGCAAGGGCGCGGCAGGTCCCAGGAGCGCAGGCAGCCGTCCTCCTCGTCCTCAGAAAAGCAGCGCTTCTACTCCTGCGACCGCTTTGGGAGCCGCGATCCCCCACAGCCCAAGTCCTCCATCAGCAGCCACCCCACGTCCCCGATAGCTGGGCCGGAACCAGCACCCCACCCACAGGTAAGTGGCATAGGCCACATGGGCGGTTGCCCCACTCTTGTCCTCAGGCCCTCTCCTGCCTCACTCTGCCTGTAGCCTTGTGCGCTCCCTCTGTGCCCTTGCTTCCCAGCCACCCTCCCTGGGGTGGGGGCTCCAGTCCTCCAGGGTCTCTGCTGCTTGTGTCCTCACTCACCTTCTGTGTCCTTATCCTGGCCCTGTGTGGCCCTCTCCCTCTCCTTCCCTGCCAGCTGCAGGTGCTCTGTGCTGCCCAATTTCTTTCTTGTTTTTATTTGCTGTTCTCTTTACACAGGGTGGTGGCTCCGTGAATGGGAGCCCCTTGGTGTCGACACCTGGTGCTAGCACCCCAGGCCGAGGTGGGCGGAGACAGCTCCCGCAGACCCCCCTGACACCACGTCCAAGCATCACCTACAAAACAGCCAACTCCTCGCCTGTCCACTTCGCTGGGACTCAGAGTGGCCTCCCAGCCTTCTCCCCTGGCCGGCTTAGCCGTGGACTTTCTGAACATAATACCCTGCTCCAGAAAGACCCCCTGAGTCAGCCCCTGGCCCCTGGCTCTCGCATCGGCTCCGACCCTTACCTGGGGCAGCGTCTGGATAGCGAGGCTTCTGCCCACACCCTGCCTGAGGACACGCTCACGTTCGAGGAGGCCGTGGCCACCAATTCGGGCCGCTCCTCCAGGACTTCCTATGTGTCCTCCCTGACCTCCCAGTCCCACCCCCTCCGCCGTGTGCCCAATGGCTACCACTGCACTCTGGGACTCAGCACCAGTGGCCGGGCTCGGCATAGCTATCACCACCCTGACCAAGACCACTGGTGCTAGCTGCACCACAACTGCCCGTGCACCTGACCATCGGTGTGGGCTCCAGTGGATGAGTTTTATCATCTACACTGGGCTCTGGGCTGCGGCCCCTGGGAGGAGGGGCCTCACCTATGGCCTCCACAGTGGGGGCGCTCCCCCTTTTACGTTGGAAGGACTAATAAAGCCCTTTCGTAGAGGGTTGTGATGTGTCTATCCCCCTCATGTGCTGCCTTCCTGGGTGTTAGGCCACATGTCAGATCCCAAGCAGGAGGTGGCCAGTGCACTGAGATGAACCCAGCGTGTCCGGATCCCATGTCATGGCCTCCACCGTCCAGGGTGGGTGCTTGAACCTGTTCTAGGAGGTTTGAATCTTTTGGGTAGCACCCTGTATCCAGATGTGCAGCATGGAGGGTAGGATATGCCTGCAAGCCTGCAAGGGGCCCAGCCGTGGCTTGGCATCCCTTGCCAGCCTCCACGATTCTGTCTCTTGTCACTTGTGGCACTGAAGAACAAATGTGTGCAGGAACACTGTCCTTCCCCAATCACTGTTGCTCCAGCAGGGACCAAATCTGAAGAACATCTGTGCTATTGATTCTGGTTTTTGGTCACAACACCCTTCATTCTGTTGTTTCAATATACTTGATCTAGAAAAACAGAAAACAGGAAAAATGGCTGAGGAACTGTTAACATAACATCAACCTATAGGAAGGTCTCCTTTTCCTTGTATGTGTCTGTACTTGCGTGAGAAGATGTTCCTGTGTGGACTCTGTCTGGCCTGGGTGGTCCCCAGCAAGCCTGGTACCTGCTGCTTGATCAAGTGCCTGACCTCCAGCTCCGGGGCATCGTGTGTGAGGCGAGGCCTTGTGAGCCATCACCCGTGGATTACATGAACACTGCTTAGAACAGCAACTGGGTAGAAAGCTCATGTCTGAAGGACCAACAGATGACACTCAGCAGCACAGTGCAGTGAAGACAGGCAATTTTGCCCATGTTCTTCCCACAAGCAAGAGGATTTAGGGAAGACAGGGACCAGCAGAGTGCGTGCTTGTGTGAGGCATTTTCAATCTTCTATATTTGATTCTCAGGGATGGGATGCCTGGCAAGTAGGGCATGATCTCTGTTGTATATGAAGTGACTTTCCACCAAAAGCTGAAGGAGTGAAAGGCTAGTGGGGAAGAGGAGATAATGACTGGGTGGTTGCATGTGAGGACATTGTGGCAGGATGTCACAGCAAGTCACTGATGGAGAAGAAATGGCTTCTGTGTGGCTGTGGCCAAGTTCCTTGCCCTGGGCATAGGGAGGCAGTAGTCAAATCTAGCCTCACAGCCACTCTCCAGAGGGGAAGCCCATACTCAGGATGGTGTTTGGTGTGGAGAATGTTAGGAGACCCTGTCATGAAGAAGGGTGCATGTGGACAAGTCCATCCGTGTGTCCTTTGTGTTGGCACTTCAGATGATTTCTCTGTGGGGTTGTTGGCTTCTACCCCATGATTCTTCTCAAGAAGCTATGTGTGATTCATATATATGTGTCTGGGTGTGTGTGGTGTGTTGTGTGGATGTTGTTCACCATAGGGCTATGCAACAAAAGACACATTTAATAGAAACAAAACACACAAGACCACCATCTGGTCTAGAGTTTCAGCATGATTGTGACCAAACCTTTTTATAGAATTTCCTTATGTGAAGGCACAACACTCTGCAACTTTAATGGTAACAGAGTATTTTATTCTAATAGGGTAAAATTATGCCGGAATCTTGGTCTGTGCATGTGACTCTGTGCTCTGTTGCAAAGTAGAAGGATGTGCATTTCAATAGTTTTGTCTGTTTCCCCAGCCCATGGTATCTTGGGTGTCAAAATGTATACATTCCATGTAGAACCACAGTTGTCTCACAGGCAGTCACCACAGGTCAAGGATACTCTTTTCTAGATTCATACAACCTAGCTGGCTTGCCTGGATTCTTTTAGGCACTGGCATTCATGAAATTACAAGAAGGGAAAGGGATCGTATTTTCTTGATTTTGGGTTGGTTTCTGTACTGTCTCCTCTCAAGTTATTGTCTATTTCCTCTCAAATCTCATAGTGAGTTGCCAAATTTGAAATGCATCAACCAGCTGTCTGCATCTGGAATCTGTCAAGCAGTGGCTGTAGTTTGAACAAGTTATTTGTGCATGTAAAATATATACATATATACATTATACAAGTATGTGCATGAAGTATATATCTTCATACTTTTGATACAATGTATTCATTTGTTAATTTTTAATTATATTTGATATAAATTGAAGGTTTGTTGTAAAACTTTATATTTAACAACAGTGTTAAAAAGAAAGAGAAGTCCCAACCATGCAAACCAATTGGGACCTACTTTTAAAAAAAAATCCTGTGATTGACTAGTTTGCTGCCTGAGTAATATTTACAAGCCAAAATTTGGATTCTGCTATTGTTTCTACAATGACCTTTTGTATGAAGCAAAGTCCTTGGATTAAAATAAAAATATGAGAAAAAAACCCCAAAAGCAAAAGCAGAACTCCCACAATGCTGCTAGGAGGTATGTGGGGGGGGGGGTCTGTGTGTCTTAAATGTGCTGGGTGGGTAGGCAGCCAGGACAGCACAGGAGAAAGTGGTATCCTGACTATAGGCTCCAGTTAAAAAGCAGGTGTGGGATACTGCGAATCAGGGTGAGCATGGCTCAGGACCCTCTGGGCACTCTGACTCCCAAGACTAATAGCTGGACTACAGTGTGCAGAACCTGGGCACCTGGAGGCACAGGTAAGCAGTGTGGCAGCAGCTGGACTACATTGCCCAGAATTCTTGCTTCGCAGTTCCCAGCCACTCCATCCTCCTCCCTTTGTAGTGAAGACTGAGGAAGCCGGACTACATTGCCTGGAATCATTCAGAGTATGGAGTGCACCTTTATGAGCACTGAGAGAACAGAGTCCAGATTCTCTAGTCCAGAAATTTCGGGGATCTGACAACTCACAGCCACTCTGCCAGTCCACCCTCCCACCCTTAGACCAGTACCGCCAGTCTCAAGACTGCACTACCCAGAATGCCACGAGCTGTGAGGACAGACTACAGAAACACACAACTCAGAATCCTCTGGCTGGGGAGATAGCTTGTGGCTTGAGTGCCTGCCTGGCAAGCACAAGAGAATCCTCTGGAACTGCAGAGGCCTTTGCAACAAAGGTTAAGTGGACAGAAGGAAAACAATAGTAGAGTACCTGGGCAAGAGCATGGGTGTCTTTCAGACCTGCAGCTCTCAGAACAGAGACATGGGGGAAGCAGTTTTGAGCTGAGGTCACACCTCTGCAGTAGCCACCGTGGCGCTACATTTAATGCCTTAAAATGACCCTAAAATGGGTCTGGTCACTGACAAAGTCACCATTTCAAACACACCACTGTGGTGACTTTCTTACCAACCAGCCTACCAAAACAAGGATTAGGGTGAAGTTAGGAGATTAGGATTAAGGAGTTAGAGGGTTAGGGTTAGGGTTAGAGCTTAAGGTTAGGGTTCAGGTTATATAACCATATTAGGGTATCTTGTTTTTATAATTAGGAGATCCCATTTTTAGGGAACTCCATTTTTATATACATTCTTAATTTAACTTTTATTTTTTAAATTAAACATTTGAAATCATATATCATATATGTCTTTTAATAATAGAAATGTATATGCTCTATTGAAATACATGGATTCCATTGAAATACGTAAGGTCCATAGGAAAATATAGGGATAAGCATCTCTATAAGGATGCCTAAATTGGTGGCTTAATATGTGGGAGTGCAGAAGTGTGCATCTTATTTTTGTTGCTGGTGGGTTTTTTTAATGTATTTAGTACAAAGTCTACAAGGTCTCACTATTCAGATCAGACTCAGTGATCCTCCTGTTTTCAGCTTCCCAAGCCCTGAGGTTATAGGTGTGTGCCACCAGGCCCAGTCTCAGTGTGCCCTGGGGACAGAGCCAGCACAGCATGCCAGGGGATCAAACCCCGGTCCCTGTGTCTACCTAAGCAGGTGCTTTAATCCACTGAGCTATCTGGCAGGCCCTAGAAGTATATCTTGAGGTTTCAAGTTCAAATCTAGCATTGGGGGTCAGGGTACTAAATTCTTTTTTTTTAATTATTTATTTATTTGTGTGTGTGTGTGTGTGTGTGTGTGTGTGTGTGGCCATCTCAGCCCACCAGGAGGTGGGGCTGGCTGGCATGTGGTGCTGGAGGATTGAACCGTGGTCCCTGTGCTTTGCGAAGCTTGTTCTAAGTAGGTGCTTTAGACCACTGAGCCATCTCACCAGCCCCTTAGAATTTTAGTTTTGTTTTTTTGTTGTTGTTGTTGTTTTTTGTTTTTTGTGTGTTTTTCACGGAACCAGGGATTGAACTCAGGCCCTTGCGCTTGCCAGGGAAACGCTTATTACACTGAGCCATCTCTCCGGCCCCTCAGGGTACTAATTTCTTAGGAAGTTGGCAGTGATGTAGAGTTAGTGTGGATATAAGGAACAATTCCATGAAAGTCCCTTATATTGTAAGTTAAATTCTATTTAAAGTATATTGTGGTAAATTAAAGATTTATATTATAAAACGAGAGGAAAACAGTTCAACAAAGTACAGTATATGTTGCTAAAACTCAATGTTACAGAGTTGAGTTAATACAAATTTATTTTCTCACAGGTTTGGAGGAAGGAGTTCAAGCAAAAGCTGCCTATAGAATTTCTCTTGAACCCTCTTTCTTTAACTTGAAGACAGCAACTCCTAGCCATGTCCTTACATGGCCTTTAACATGTTCACCCTGGTGTTTCTTTTTCAAGGACTCAAGTAAAGGACTGGATTAGAATACACACACATTTTTTTTCTCTTTTCATGGAATACCAACAATATTTGACTCACATGACAAGGTTACCTCAGGGATATATGAGAATCTGGTTGGGGTGGCCTGAGATGTTTGTCCAGTCTATGTATGTCCCAGGCTATTCCAGCCAGTGGCCCCTACAGAGAGTTTTCTAGAAAAGTTTTGAGGTGTGACATCCAGCAGGCTACTTGTGTAGCTATTGTATTTCCTCCTGGCGTCCACAGCTGATAGCCAGTGTCTGTCCCTCAGAGGACAGCTTGGGAATGTTATTAGGGGCTCTCCATGATGGGTTAGCCACTCTGTACCACGCAGCACTGCTCCTAATGCGCACCCTTAGATGCCCTTGACAACCTCATCCAGAAGACACCTGGGAACATGAGAAGTGCAGCCAGTATCAGACCTAACCAGGAAACATATTTGCACTGGAGGTCCCTTCTCCAAACTTCATGTCTATGCCTGAGTTCACCGACCTTATTCTTCTCTAGGAAAAAAAAAAGAAGATGGTCCAGGGATATAGCTCAACAGCATAAGTGCCTGCCTGGCAAGTGCAAGGTCCTGAGTTTGATCCCTGGTAGTGGAAAAAAAAAAGGAAAGAAAGAAAAAGAGTGAAAGAAAGTTGGGGATTTACCTTGGTGGCATAAGGTCCTGCTTGGCAAGTGCAAGGTCTTGAATTTGCTCCCTGGTACCACATCGGTGCCAGCCCTGCAACTGTGCATGTTAGCACAGAAGAAGAAGGATGGGGAAGAAGAGGAGGAGGAGGAGGAGGAGGAGGAGGAGGAGGAGAAAACTAGAGAAGAATGTCACTGGGATGGGACACAAATTACATTGTTTGATCAGAAAGGGCTTCCCAAAGGAGAGGGTATGTGTATTGACCCAGCCAAGAGCTGGAGGGTCAGGGAGTAGAAAAGGCAAAATTCCCACATGGCCCTCAAGCTGCCTGAGACCTCAGTGGATAACAGCGCTGCCCAGTTCTAGTGTTTGCATTCCTGTCAGTCTATATATATGACTAGATGTGTGCACTATCCTCACAAGTTTTGGCTGCACCTTTAGTACAGATTTCATTGTGAATTTGCTCCAGTTAAATTTTTTTCCTACAGTGAAAATAATTTGCAACTGTGTCACGGAGGATAAGATATAAAACATGCATTCAACACTGATGTGTGGGCAATTTCTGTATGCTATGTTCTAGTGAAGGCACATTCCTAAAGATAGTCATTTATAAACTGCAGTTTATGCACACTCTCAAATATCTGATAACATCCAGTTGAAGATATTCTTAATAACTCTCCTCAGGGATTTGACATTGTGTGACTGCATTTTCACTCCTTATGTAGTGTTAAGAAGCCTTTGTAAGGATGTTTCTTCATCCCTAATGTATGCAAAATTATACTCTAATAAAGTTATACTAAACGTTCTTCAATAAAAATAACATTTAAAAT